GCAGACAGTTGATAGCTAGGCTCCCAAATTTCGGGCCTTTGGAGCTCGGATATTACCTTTCAGTTTCTTTGCGTGGGTGAAATGGGAGCCATCTGACTGGCAACTTTTATACTTTGAACAAAAGCCTGCTGACTAATTCCTCATCTCCAGGAGATCACCTTCAACCCCAGATTTCCCTGCTCTGAGGCAGCCCATGTGGGCCCATCAGCCAAACATCCTGAGCTTTCCCGGACAGTCCTACTTCCACTGTCCTCATATTTAACCATTTACTTGTGTAGCAATTTATATTTACTTGACTTTACATATTTCATATGTTTATATTAATAAAAATTGAAGGAAATTTTAAAAACTTAGCCTTAATTCAAGTGCTTAAGAGCCACATGTGGCTGGTGACGTCGGACAGTGCGAGTAGAAAACATTTACATTATTGTGGAAACATATTCCAATATACTGTTCTATTGGACAGCTCCGATATACACAGGCAGAAATTCCAGCATCCAAACTACAGCTCACAGATCGTTTGTTCCTTGAAGGTCCTAAAGCTTCTCTGACCTTTCGAGTGAACTCATTTGAGTTCCCAAGATGTCAGAGCCTGCTGGGATTGGAGGCCACCCGGCAAAGGATGCCTTTGAAGAAATGTCCCTTATGAAATTCACCATTATCAAGTTTGGAATGTCTGCTGTTCCTCCACAGTGAGACAGGTGGGGCCTGGGATGTTCTTGGTTCATGTGATTGCCAAGACTTCGTGTGCAAAGAAAGGAACTTGGTGTCTCTTAGTTTCATCCAAGCCATCGGCCTTGTCAGCCAAGGGGACAGCTGGTTATAGAGTGCAGTCTTAGTGGACAGAGCAAGGGGCAGGGCTGAGAGAATTCCAGCTGTGAGGGCTGTGTCTTGACCTGTCCTGCCTGGAGGGTGAGGGTGGGAAGTACCTCTCAGAGCCTCCTCATAGTCCTTTCCCGGCTTCTTAGAGGGCAGCCTTTGCTGCAGAGAGAAGAGAAAAGGAGTTTTTCCCCTTCCCCAGTCCAGGGAGAAGGGACGCTTTGAGGTAAGAGGTTTAGCCAGAAGCCTTTTCTTTCTGGAACAGGGGCAATTGGTTTATCCCTTGCCAGTTCCTGCAGGCAAACAGCATGCTGGCCTGGCCTGCTGCCCCAGCCCTACCTGTCATGTGCTTGGCAAGTCTGACTTAAGTCCTTTTTTCCACTGCCTTCCCCACCCCATCAAATTGCCATTGCAACCTCTCATTTTTCTGCTGCCTAGATGATTAAAAAGCATGACTTAGTGGAAAAATCTTGACCTCCTTGGGGTCAGCCTCTTAGGCAGCTGTCAGAGATAAGATTGTACTGGCAAAATACTCAGCTATGCTTTGCAAGGCTTTCTGTCTGGATGTGAGGAAATGAGAAGCTGGTTGGTTCTGGGTGCGTTCTGTTTGTCTTTGGAGAGAGCTACAATTTTCAGAGACATAAATTGGTATTATCTGATAATAAAATATAATCTCTGATGGGAAGGTTAGATTACTATAGTGATTTTTTTTTTAAGTAATTAACAGGCTTTGTTAAAAAAATTTTTTTTTTCCCATGGAGCCTGCTCTGAGCAATTCAGGGAGCAAAGTTCTCTGGCAACTAAGCAGTATCAGAAGTTCAATGCTCAGACTTCCCCCAAGGACTTAAAAGACTTAATTGTGCGGCTCCTGGTATGAAATTGTTTGGAGTTATTTTAATTATTGTGTTAGTATTGCTGCCTCTTGCTTAGAGGTTGAATACTTACCATAGTCCTGTTGAAACTGCTCCAAAGAGGACATTCCAATTTGAATTTAACATATGTCCTCAAAGCATTTTATCATCTTTGTGTTTGCCCAGGATTTGTATCCATCTAGTGAGACCAGAGGCCACTTCATTTCTTAAATGGAGAAACTCAGGCCCAGGTGGTTGAGAGGTCTTGGCTAGGTAGGGTTGGACAAGTGATGTCAAGGACATAGTGAGAACCTGGGGTCTGTGTATGGACCCTTTGTGTTATCAAATGGGCGCCTCTTTTGAAGTCCTGTGGGTCTGAGTTTGGGTCCCCGTTCAGCCACTTCCTGACTCTGTGGCCATGAGTAAGTCAGTTGCCCTCTGTGTGCTTCAGTTTTCTCATCTATAAATAGTGATCACACCACTGCATACTTCAGAGGATTATTGTGATCTGCGATTCTGCTCAGCACATGTGCCTGCGTAACTTCCATCATCAGCAGCATCATCCTACTTTTAATGAGACCCCCTCCCAGCTCAGAATGAAATCACATGCTCTCCACCACATGCCCTTTGCTTGTTATCCTCCTCTTCCTTTTGCTAGCCTTGCTGCTGCATGTCCCTTCGGCTTTTCCTCAGCATGGGCGACTGTAATTAGAAGTCGGTCACCACCTCTCTCAGCCAGGGAGTTGCAGCATAGGTACAGCCCCAGGCTTGAGGTCAGAGGGTAGAGGCAGGGGTCCAGGGCTGTCCTGGGCCTGGTGTCCATCCCCTCCTGATATTTCGCAGCTCTGTCCTTGAAGATGTAGAACAACTGTCCAGACTCGACAGTTCATCTTCTGGACTTGTCTGCCCAGATGGTCATCTCGGGGGCTGAACTGCCAGATGGGCCATTAAAGCCCAGGGTCTTACCACCATCTCTGATCAGCTTTCCAGGAAATGGGCATGTTGGCCCAGTAGCATCCATTCATTGTTTAGAAGATGCAGATCTGGTTTGAATCCTGGCTCTTCCTTGTGGCCCTCAGAGTCCCAGGGTCTCTCTGCTCCTGGTGGAGGGGTGTGGTGTGGTAGCAGTAGGGCCTAAGGCAGGTGATGTCTGAAAGAGCTTTGTAAACTGTAGCATACTTTCCACTCGTGGGGTTCCCCTCACTCATGCCCAAGGCTTGTGCTCAGAAGGGCATCTGGTTCCACCTCCCAGGGAGGGGCTCCAGCTCCACATGAGAGAGTGAGGAGGGGCCCACGTAAGCCCCGTGACCTTCTCCCTGCTCGGCACTGGAGTCTAGTGCACACAGCCCAGTCCAGGGGCAGACCTGCAGGGCTGGCTGCCTTGGGAAGAGGAAGCCTGTGGTGGGGGTCATCTTTCCCCACGCCTCCCTTCACCACCACCCCCAGCTGAGCCCCTTCCTGCCTTGTTTTCCTCCTGGCTGCCATTACGATACTTTTTATAAGCCTTGTTAAATCTTTAATGATGCCTGGTTGTGCAGCTGGCTTAAGACTTAATCCCCAGCAATAGGGCTTTATTGGATAAATGGTTAATAATCACTCATCTGCAGGGATTGGGGAGGTTGTATTGAGGCCCATGATTCCCAGAAGCCCCACGTGGCCTCTGACATGGTCAGGGACTTGATGGGGACCACACTTCATGGGGTCCGGTACAGTAAGACTGGGCACCCTCATCACACCCCAGAAGTTGGGAAGGCCTGAGGTTCTAGGAGAGCCCTTTTAGTACCTCCAAGGAACAGAGCAAAGCACAGGGAGCCCCCAGGTTCTCTTCAAATGTGTCTCCACCCTCCTCCTTGTTTCACTTTCCTTTCTTTTGCCATGAACAAGCTGTGTGACCCTGAGCAAGTCTCCTGACCCCTTTGGGCCTCAGCTTCTGTATCTGTTAAAAGGACAGGTTGGGAAGAGATGACCTTATAGGTGCTGTGTGATTCTGTAAGCCCCAGCAGCCCAGACAGTCTCTTCTCCCCAGCTCTCTGGTGAGTCCCCGAGGACTGTGTGTGGCAGGGGACCAGCAGCCCTTGGGATTAAGCACTTAAGCTGCTGGGCAAAGAATTGGGTCATCTGTAGTCACAGGGCAGCGTATACAAAGGGAAGGCACAGAGCCTGGATTTTATAGCCTGGTTTAGGGTGTCCCCTAGCTCTGGGCAAGACACACAGTAGGCTTAGAAAAAGGAACCTTGTGGACAGGACTTTGGAAAGAGAATTAGACTCTTTCAGGTATAGAATTGTCAAGGTGGGTTTTTTTCAGTCGCTCAGCCTCGTCCGACTCTTTGGAACCTCATGGACTGCAGGATGCCAGGCTTCCCTGTCCTTCACTATCTCCTGGAGTTTGCTCAAATGCAAGTCCATTGAGTCAGTGATGCCATCCAACCATCTCATCCACTGTCACTCCCTCCTTCTCCTGCCCTCAATCTTTCCCAGCATCAGGGTCTTTTCCAATGAGTCAGTCCTTCACATCAGGTGCCAAAGTACTGGAGCTTCAGCTTCAGCATCAGTCCTTCCAATGAATATTCAGGGTTGATTTCCTTTAGGATTCACTGGTTTGATCTCCTTGCTGTCAGGGAGCCAGGGGTTGTTTGCAGGTGGAAAAGGAGCCTGGGATTGTGTTCCCACCTGCCCGTGTCTGGGGCCGTGCATTCAACTCTGATTTGTCTTCAACTTCACAGCTGCAGTGAGATTAGAACCCGTCTCCTTAAGGGGCAGGTGGTATTGGGCATGGACTTGGGAGTCAAACAGACTTGGGTTTGAATCCCATTCTACCACTGCACCTTTCCAGGCTGAATGATTTGGGCACCCTCCTTCTCCAGGTATCTCCTAAGTGGCATTAGCAGCACCTACATTTCAACATGACTGTGTTGGGTGCAAATGACCTACATAAAATACCTGGTATCTGGCTCACATCAAGTGCTGATAATTATCCTGGGAGGAATTTGCTGTTGTGGCACCTGTTGCATGCATTGTACTTGTAGTTAAAATGCTTGCCACAGTTGGAGATGTGACTTACTGTGGAGGACATGTTCTCAAGTTCTTTTATCTGAAAACAAAACCCAAAAGGACAAACACCAATTTGGTAGCACTGCCATGAAAGCCTTCAACTTCAGGATTAGTCGGCTGAGGGCTGATTTCCTCTGTTGCCCTGGAGTTTGCTCCCTGCTCCCTGCCCCCTGCCTGATGCTCCCCAGTGTTCCCAGGGCAGAGTAGCTTGGTCCCTGGTGTGCAGTGGGGGCTCAGTCCTGCACGTGAATGTGACTGGGTTCTCTGCATTTATTTCAGATCTTCCCTGACCCGTCAGACTTTGACCGCTGCTGCAAACTGAAGGACCGTCTGCCGTCCATTGTGGTGGAGCCCACAGAGGGGGAGGTGGAGAGTGGGGAGCTCCGGTGGCCCCCCGAGGAGTTTTTGGTCCAGGAGGACACGCAGGACAACTGTGAAGAGACAGCGAGTGAAAACAAGGAGCAGTAGAGTCTGCGCCGGCTCCCTCGGGGTCACACCAGACAGCCTCTGTATCTGAACTGTGTTCTTTCCCACTACCATGGAAGGAGAGCGTGTGTGAGCCACTGCAGTTCTGCACACGTCAGATGATGGCTTCCTTTCTGCACCTGCAAATCACTGAGCTGGTTTTCTTTTCTTTTCTTTTCCTTTTTTGAGATGTTGGGCAGCGGAGCCCTCTGTGACTACGTGCTAGGCCTTTTGAGAAAGGAAGCTTCTTAGAACAGGGGTGGGGTGCAGGGAGGCGGGCATCTTGGAGATCATTATCTGAACTCAGGAGGGCTGGGGGCAGCCCTATGACTCCAGTGGGCTCCGGGGGAGGGCGTCTGGGGCAAGAAAAACAAACAGGAGATGAAAGAGAAAAGAAAACTGAGCAGAGAAGTGCGGCCAGGAAAGATGGACCCAGCAGCACGCGCTCTGGCTAGCGAGGCATCACCCTACAAAGTCTTCATCTCTCTCTCTAATTTTGTCCACTGCCCATCTTTGTTTTTATTTCGGGTGTGTTGGTCTGTAATGGGAGGCAGGTGAAGGAGAGCTGTGGAGCCTGGCTTCCTGCAGAACCAGCCAGAGGTGATGCCAGAAAAGAAAAAAGTCTCCTGGTTCCTTCTCCAGACCCTCCCCTCAGGCCCTGGCAGATGTTCCTGCCTGCTGTGATCTGGAGGCTTTTTGAGAGGCTGCACTTTTGAGCGTTCCCTGACTTATCCTCTTTGCCCCCCACCCCAGCCCTTTTGGAAATAGCGAGAGCCTCTCCCGCCCTTGTTGGAGGGCCAAGATAGATGCTTGGACACCGAGGTCCATCCTCTGTTGCTCCCCCCAGACTCACTCTCCCTCTGGGTGGAGGCGCAGCGTGGCGGGCCCTCCCTCCAGGGCTGGCCCTTCCTCCTCCTGACCCCCACCCTCCCAGCTCCAGCACAGCCGTTTGGGTGTGCTAGCCTGGCCGTGGGTTCGAGCCAGCCTGACCAACTGCAGTACCCACTCCTATGTGGGATCTTGGCTTCTTTTTCCGGTGGGGGCTGAGCAGCCAGCAGGGGAGAGTTTCTCTGTTTCTCATTGGGAAGTGAGCATCAAGGCAGGTTCTGAGAGCTGGCAGAGCCTGGGAGTTGTGGATGGTGGTGACAGGCAGCCCAGGGATGGAATTTGAAACTCAAGGGTGTCATGAGATCCTGGGCTTCTTCCCTGGTGTTCCTGGATGCAGAGGGTGGGTGGCGTGGGGAGGGAGCCGCATCCCTTCTCACTTGACCCCTGCGAAGGCTATAGTTGCAGAGAAAGCTAACCTGGACTTAGAGCTCCTTATCACAGTTAAGAACCATCTGGAGCTGCAGAGATTGCAGGACGAAACCCTTCACACATCTCTATCTCAGAGCAGGACTGTGCAGCCAAGAAGTGAGCTCAAGTCCCTCCCTGGGGCTGAACGTAGCCAATTGAGGCACCCACCTCGTCCCCTCAGGGCCCCAGGCCATCCAGGCTGAGCCCCTTTGGTTGGGACATGTGTGTAGACTTGTACTTAATACCTCAAGGTTAGTGTGGCTCTTGGGAACGCTGGGGCGGGAGGACCAGCGTGGCTAGCTTGTATGAGCAGGACTTGGTTCTGGGCAGCCGATGCTCATCCCCCGCCCCTCCGCTCCTACCCTGTGTTGTCTGTCCATGTTGCATACACCGATGGCAATAACTTCTTCCAGCTCCTCGGGCAAGTGGGAGAGGCCTGCAGCCGGCCCTGCGAGGGAGCTTTTCTCTCTCTCTCTCTCTCTCTCTCTCTCTCTCTTGCTTGCTCTAGCTCTCGCTCTCCTCCTGTTTCAGCCGCAGGGAGCCTGTCCCCATTCCTCTCACCCCTCACAGCTGCAGTTCTCAACCCATGCCTCCCTCCGTGGATGAGGTCTTGCCTTTGAAAATCCCGTGTTTCTGTGTCCCTGTCTCATGCTCCCCTGTATCATCTGTCCCAGTCTTGCTGTATGATGGGAACATGCTTGTAAACTGCATAACAAATCTGCTTTGTGTATATGTGTGTTTATGGGGGTGGTTTATTATTTTTTGCTGGTCGCTAGATCCCTTTGTATGACCATGTGGAGTCTGAGCAGGCCAGGGGCTGACAGCTTAAGTCAGGACCCTCAGCGGTGAGCCTGCTGTGGGGACCCAGCTGCTCTTGAACAAGTGGCTGAGCTCCTGTCTGGCCTCCTCTTTTTTTTTAAAAAAGTAACTTGTGTGTATTTCTAACTGATCCTATTGGGGGAAAAAAAAAAAACCAACCCTAGTATTTCAGTAAAAATGCCTGTTGTAAGATGAACCTCCTGTAACTTCTATCTGTTCTTTTTTGAGGCTCAGGGAGAAACTAGCATTTTTTTTTTTCCAAACTACTTTTTGTCACTGTGACAGTTGTAAATAAAGTTTGAAAATGCTTTCCACTCTGGTCTGGTTTCTTTTTTTCTTGCTGCTCCATTGGAACTGACAAAGCGTAGGAGCTGCTCTCGCAGGAGACTGAGTTCAGCATAGCCGCCCCTTGTGAGGGTCCTTACGTACCTCACCTGTTGGCCCTTCTTGGGATGAATCCGTTCATGGTTTTTATCAGCTGGTTGAATGAAAGTAGCTTTTTTCTTCTACACTGGTGGTTCTAACTCTGGATGCACATCAGAGTCACCAGCAGAGCTCTAAAGAGTTACAAATACCTGCATCTTATCCCCCACAGACTTGGATTTGAGTGGTCTGGGGTGAGGTTCAGGCATTAGGATTTTTTAGAATCACCTGGAGGATATTTTAACACACAGCTATGGTTTTAAACTACCTTTCTAAGAGAAGAGAAAGTGTTAGTCACTCAGTCATGTCCGACTCTTTGTGACCCCATGGACTGTAGCCCACCAGCCTCCTCTGTCTGTGGGATTCTCCAGGCAAGAATACTGGAGTGGGTTGCCATTCCCTTCTCCAGGGAATCTTCCTGACCCAGGGAAAGAAACATCCCCAATATATTGCAAAGTTTTTCACAAAGACTGGGAGTGAATGAATGAGTGTGTATGTAGCTCAAGAGAACTCCAGGAATCATTCAAACCGTTGACTGAGTGCCTAGGACTTATCAGTCATTGTTAAGAGGCTGAGTAAACAAAATAGCAGTGTCCCAGCCCTCTCTGCACTGCTTAGTATATGAAATTAAAGGACAAATGTGGTGAGTGCAAGGCAGGAAAAACATAGCGAGCATCTGTTGGAAGGGTCAGGAGAGGCGTCTGAAGAAATGACAAGGAGCAGGTGAGGTGCGTGGAGAGAGTGCTTCCGGCAGAGAAGGTTTGAGATGAGCTTGACTGGAGGGGTGGGGAGGAGGAAATAGTGCAGGGAGGGCTTCTCAGACCTGGGTGAGGAGTTTGGGCTTTTATTTTAAGGGCAGGGCTTAGGATAGTAGCATTTACATTTTTACACAATCTGGCTCAATGGAGATGGAATTGGAGGGGGCAAGATGGAAGGCCCAGAGACCAGGAAGGGGGCTACGTGGAGATCAGAGTGAGAGACGGTGGTGCTTTTATGGAAAAGGGTTTTGGACACTTTGAATCTGGGGCTGGATATTTTTACCTTTACTCAGCCCATATTCTAGGCTTTTAACCATGGAGAATATAGAAAAATCAAGTGATCTGTGCTGAGATTAATTTATCTTAATGGAAGATTGATCCATTTTAACATTAGCCTGTCAGACCATTTGCTCTATGGATCTGCTGCCCTGATGATAAAGTCCAAGTCTTGACCATCCTCATCTTGGATTGTCCCTCCTTGACTCTCCAACAGTTGAGGATGGAGTTTATTAGGACACAGCCTCCTTAAACGTAGTACCACAGAAAATTATCTCTATTCACAGCTGACATCATTTATGTAGAAAAATCCTATGAAATCTACCCAAAAGATCTACTAGAGCTGACCTGTGAGTTCAGCATGGTTGCAGGATCTATGATCAATATACAAAAATTGAGTATATTTCTATATACCAGCAATGAATAACTGGAAATTAAAATTTAAAATACCACTTACATTAGCATAAAAAACTACTTGGGGAGAAATCTGACAAAAGGGGTACAAAACCTGTTCAATAAAAACTATGAAACACTAGTGACAAAAATGAAATAAGACCTACATAATCAGAGGAACCTGGCAGGCTACAGTTGATGAGGTCACAAAGAGACACGACTGAGCAACTATCACTCACACTTAACCAGAGAGATATATCATATGGGCCTAAACACACAGTGTTGTTCAGATGTCAGTTCTCTCCAAATTGACCTGTAGATTCAACACAAAATAACAGCAAGCTTTTTTTTGCAGAAATTGACAATCTGATTCTAAAATTCATGTGAAAATGCAAAGAATCTAGAATTGCTAAAACAACAAGGAGCAAACTTAGAGAGCCCAAATCTCAACTTTAAACTCTATTACAAAGTTAAAGTATTCAAAACATTTAGTATTGTCATCGATAGACAAATAGATCCATGGAACAGAATAGAGTCCAGAAATGGGCCCAAACATAAATGGTCGATCGATTTCTTTTTAAGTAGTTGTGACATTTTTAAAAATTTATTTTTAATTGAAGGATAATTGCTTTACAGTATTGCATTGGTTTCTACCAAACATCAACATGAATCAGCCATAGGTTTACCCATGTTCACTTGATTTTTGACAAAGGTGCCAAGGCAACCCAGTGAAAAAAGGACGATCTTTTCAACAGTTGGTGCTAAAAAAATTGTATATCCTCATGCAAATATCCCCTGGGGGTGGAAACATGAGTCTTTACTTCTGCCTCCTGTTGTCTCCATGTGACTTTCTAAATAGAATAATTACTCATTTAGGAAAAAAAAAATTTGTTTTTCATGGTTGGTCCTTGGCTTCAATGCTGTCCCACTCCACCACAGATCACCTCCTCTCTCCCTAAAGGAGGAACATTCATGGAAACTGGTGAACATTGCTGTGTTATTCAGGATGACTTGTATTCCCATCCTGCTCAGTCCATATGTTATCTGGGGCCAGATTCTTAATGTCCAAGATCTTCAGGTTTCTTTTCTAGTACCTCTTGTGCAGGGATGTGAAGGTTGAACACTCAGTAGGCATTCCACAAGTCGAGGTTTTATCCCTCTTTCCCTTGAAAGTTGGGGTAGCTAAGGAACTAGCCCCTGCCTTTCCCCTGCTTTTCACACTGAGTCCTGGGCACACCAAGTCAAGAAGAGCTTCAAGGTGAAGGCAATTGTCTATCCACAAATGCTGAAATTAACTGATCGGTGATGAGATTAATTGATCTTAATGGAAGATAAATGCATTTTAATTTTTTTTAATAATTCAGAGTTGCTTTCTTTTTTAAAGCAAATTTAAACAGAAAAAAAATTCCTCCCTTAGCTTGCCCCTTTCATTTATCATCATGATGGGGGAGAAAGCAGAAAGATGAAGGGACTATTAATGCCTCTGTCCACCAAAATATTGGAGAGGGGAGAGGGAGACATCTCCCATCAAGCTAGGCCTGATGTCTGGCTCCTTTTTAAATAAGAAGAGATCCTTGGGCAGAGACCTGTTGGAAGTGATGGTTCTATGTGAAATGGAGAGAGATTCAAGGTGTGGGTGACCGCAAGTGCAAAGGCCCTGTGGTAGGCATTGACTTGAATTTTTTGGAGAAATGTCTGTGAAACCAGCAGGGCTAGAGCAGAGGGAAAGAGAAGTAGCTGAGGTCAGATACCACAGAGTGGAGTTTAGAATCACTATTGCCCATTGTGAGAAGCCTGCTGGGGAAGGAAACAGGCTCTTCAGGCATCCCAGCCCCTAGAAATCCACTGCTCAGTCCATTCAAAGATGTCTCACTGCTGCAAATGGCAGTCAGGGTTGATGGACCTGAGGCAGTGTCATAGGCTGAAGGAGTTTCTGGGTCATCAAAGGAGGATTAGACCAGGCAGAAGTCTGTTTGTACAGCTGTCCTCCAGTTACTGAAAAGTGGTTATGGCTAAGAGAATGGGCACTGAGCTCGGGCCCCTGGATCTGTATGTAGCTCAGCCCTGCCTTTTACTGTAATGTGACCTTAGGCAAGTTACTTTCCTTCTCTGGGCCTCACTTTCCTCCTCTGTAAAGTGGGTACCTACCTCACAGAGTTGAGGTGAGGCTTAAATGCACTGTTACAAGTAGTAACAAGCTTAGAACTGTACCAGGCACAAAGTAAGTGCTCAAATGTTAATCATTGCAGAAGGGAGAATAATACCCTCCCCCCACTCCCCAAAGTTGTCCACATTCTGATCTCAGGAACCTGTGACTCTGTGATGTTACATTGCAAGTGGGAATTAAAATTGCAGGTGAAATTAATGTTGTTAATCAGCTGACTGACTTGAGAGAGCCTGTATTATCCAGGTGAGCCCAATCTAATTACACGGGTCTTTATAAGGGGTTGGGAAAAGCAGATGAGCCAGTGTGGGAGTTAAAGAGAGGTTTGAACATGGCAGAAGGGGCCTCAACGAGTATACGTACCTCTCTCTAGAAGTTGGAAAAGGCAAGGAAACAATTCCTGAAGCCCCCAGAAGGTTGACAGCCCTACCAACATGTTGATTGCAGCCCAGTGATACCCATTTTGGACTTCTGACTTCCAAAACGGTAAGATAATAAATTTGGGTTAAGCCACTAAATTTGCGGTAATTTGTTTGAGCCACAGTAAGAAACCAAAACAGCCATTGTTATAATATGATGGTGGTGATGATGATATAGACGAAGAGGTCCCCAACCTCCAGGCCATGGACTGGTACCACAGGAGCCAGATCAGCAGCCACGTTAGATTAGAAATAAAGTGCACAATAAATGTAAAGCACTTGAATCATCCTGAAATCATCCCCTCTCCCCCATAACCCTGGTCCATGGAAAAATTGTCTTCCATGAAATTGGTCCCCAGTGATGAAAA